AATGAATTTTTCTTTCACAAATGAACACACAAATAACTTTACGTAATGCAACCTCATTTTGAGTAATCACATGTCATGAGTTATGGTATGCTTTCAAAGCTTTCAAAGTGTCTATCGGGAAAAACAATAGATCTCATCAAAAAGTAATTTGAAATACAATGATTCAGCACCGTGCTCAATGTGATGGTCTATCCTGCTGTCAATTTTGCCGATGTGCACCTGTAGAATGATCACCACAGCTACCTAGTTAAATAATATGACACTGCAGCTAAAATCATAGTGTGATTTGTTCATGTGCAGGATAATAACATTCAAACAAAATCAGCTTTGGATCATGTTTCAGTCGCTAATGGGCAAAATGCGGGACACATCACCATTTAGGGTTAGCAACAAGGACTCCTGTTTCTCGAATAGGAAAGTAACAAAAAAAAATGGCAGTATTAAGTGTATTAAAACGAAACGCACCTTATCAGTTTCAATCTCAGCTACAAGTTCGTCCTCGTTTACAAAATCTCCCACTTCTAAACAAATAATATCTGAGTCCAATCAAAGAAAACCTTAGAAACGAATTACTTTTGATCCATCGAATATCTCCTTCAGAAATTGATTCTGCAAAGTCCGGACCTTTCACGACGATAACGTCAGCAACTAAAAATATGAATCGGCATTTATCAGAACTTCAGCCATCGGTAGGATTAGTGATTTTGAATAACGTTGCATGAGGAAACTGTAGGTGAAGTATGACAGTTTCCAAAATCGTCAAATTAGTTCTGATTAGACACACACTGAAATTTAACAAAGATCATCACGAAACGATAATAAATCAAAACCTACGTCTAATTCCACTTGCATGGATTGCTCTTATTGGGACAAAGCTCAAATGAGCAGTTGGAACACGAGTAGAAACAGAAAGTGAGCGACTTGCTAAAAAGGATTTATTAATTTTTAGAAAGATCTATAGCTTTCTGGGAAAAAAAACTTACGAGTAAATATGCAGCGGCATGGCGAAAGAGATGCGGATAAACGCTAAACGATAAGAGGTTGACAAAGTAAAATAAAAAAGCATTCAACTACCTGCCGCGCAATGTTTATGGCACATCGCTGAATCGCCGGAACTCTACGACCAATCATCTTGGTCCGATGATAAAAATACCCTACAAGAAAGGTTTTGCTTTAAAAAAAGATAAAATAACTAATATGAACATAGGTTCATTTCATGTGACCACGACATCAGAGAATATGGTATGGCGATAAACAGACAAGGGATACCCCAGACTGCGTAGTGCGAATGACATGAGCGCGGTTGCAAAAATCAACCAACAGTGTGAAAGAAAAAAAGGATGAAACTATTCTCTTTTCGCTGTTATGTTTTGAATGCTACAAACAACTTTTAGAGGCAACTAAAATATGATTTGGGTACTGGTAAAAAAATATCGGCGGACATCGATCATAAATCAACAACAACAACATTATCTGCCAAATATAAAGAAGGAGGCTATCATAATTAAGCGAAAATCCCGCTAGCATGCAAATGACGGTGACTTCCTAACATCTTTGCTCAAAGAACTTTCAAGTGACATGGAACCCGGAGAGTGCATAGCCAGCAACTTTTTCTTATTCTTCCTGAACTTTCTCCTATGCATCGACGAAGGAACTCGATAGACAGCG